CCAGAGTGGTGCAGTAATCCTATCCCGGAAGTCATGTTACTAGACCATGGCGAACCTACAAACTATGAAGAAGCTATGATGAGTCCAGATTCCGACAGATGGCTTGAGGCCATGAAATCTGAGATAGGATCCATGTATGAGAACAAAGTGTGGACTTTGGTGGACTTGCCCGATGATCGTTAAGCCATAGAAAATAAATGGATCTTCAAGAAGAAGATTGACGCTGATGGTAATGTTACTGTCCACAAAGCCCGCCATGTCGCAAAAGGTTTTTGACAAGCTCAAGGAGTTGACTACGATGAGACTTTCTCACTCGTAGTGATGCTTAAGTCTGTCTGATTCATGTTAGCAATTGCCGCATTTTATGATTATGAAATCTGGCAAATGGACATCAAAACTGCATTCCTTAATGGATTTCTTAAAGAAGAGTTGTATATGATGCAACTAGAAGGTTTTTTCAATCCTAAAAGTGCTAACAAAGTGTGCAAGCTCCAGCGATCCATCTATGGACTGGTGCAAGCATCTCAGAGTTGGAATATACGCTTTGATGAGGTGATCAAAGCATATGGTTTTATACAGACTTTCGGTGAAGCCTGTATTTACAAGAAAGTGGGTGGGAGCTCTGTAGCATTTCTAGTATTATACGTAGATGACATATTGTTGATTGGAAATGATATAGAATTTCTGGATAGCATAAAGGGATACATGAATGAGAATTTTTTCAATGAAAGACCTCAGTGAAGCTACTTACATATTAGGCATCGAGATCTATAGGGATAGATATAGACGCTTAATAGGACTTTCACAAAGTATATACCTTGGCAAAATTTTGAAGAAGTTCAAAATAGATCAGTCAAAGAAAGGATTATTGTCAGTGTTGCAAGGTGTGAAGTTAAGTAAGACTCAAAACCCGACCATGGCAGAAGATAGAGAGAGAATGAAAGTCATTCCCTATGCCTCACCATAGATTCTATAAAGTATGTCATGCTGTGTACCAGACCTATTGTGTACATTGCCATGAGTTTGGCAAGGGGGTACAATAGTGATCCATGAGTGGATCACCGTACAGCGGTCAAAACTATCCTTAGAAGACTAAGGAAATGTTTCTCTGTTATGGAGGTGATAAAGAGTTCGTCGTAAAGGGTTACGTCGATGCAAGCATTGACACCGATTCAGATGACTCTTAGTCTCAATCTAGATACGTATTGAAAGTGGGACAATTAGCTAGAGTAGCTCCATGCAGAGCATTGTAAGCCATAGAAATTTGCAAAATACATACGGCACTGAATGTGGCAAACCCATTGACTAAAACTCTCTCACAAGCAAAACATGATCACACCTTAGTACTATTTGGATGTTAATCACATGGCGGTGTGAACTAGATTATTGACTCTAGTGAACCCTTTGGATGTTTGTCACATGGTGATGTGAACTATTGGTGTTAATCACATGGCGATGTGAACTAGATTATTGACTCTCGTGCAAGTGGGAGACTGAAGGAAATATGCCCTAGAGGCAATAATAAAGTTGTTATTATTCGTGATAAAGTTTTATTATTCATGCTAGAATTGTATTGATTGGAAACCTAAATACATGTGTGAATACATAAACAAACAATGTGTCCCTAATGAGCCTCTACTAGACTAGCTCATTTATGAAAGATGGTTAAGGTTTACTAACCATGGACATGAGTTGTCATTTGATAACGGGATCACATCATTAGGAGAATGGTGTGATGGACAAGACCCATCTGTTAGCTTAGCATATTGATCATTCGGTTTTATTGCTATTGCTTTCTTCATGTCAAATACATATTCCTTTGACTATGAGATTATGCAACTCCCAGATACCGGAGGAATGCCTTGTGTGCTATCAAATGCCACAACATAACTGGGTGATCATAAAGATGCTCTACAGGTATCTCCGAAGGTGTTTGTTGAGTTGGCATAGATCGAGATTAGGATTTGTCACTCCGAGTATCAGAGAGGTATCTCTGGGCCCTCTCGATAATACACGTCATAAGCTTGCAAGCAAACGACTAAGAATTAGTCACGAGGTGACGATTACAGAACGAGTAAAGAGACTTGGCGGTAACGAGATTGAACTAGGTATGAAGATACCGACGATCGAATCTCAGACAAGTAACATACCGATGGACAAAGGGAATTACGTATGTTGTCATAACGCTTCGATCGATAAAGATCTTCGTAGAATATGTAGGAGCCAATATGAGCATCCAGGTTCCACTATTGGTATTGACTGGAGAGGTGTCTCGGTCATGTCTACATAGTTCTCGAACCCGTAGGGTCCGCACGCTTAACGTTCGTTGATGATATTGTATTATATGAGTTATGTGATTTGATGACCGAATATTGTTTGGAGTCCTGGATGAGATCAAGGACATGACGAGGAGTCTCTAAATGGTCAAGAGGTAAAGATTGATATATAGGATGATGGTATTCGGACACCGGAAGTGTTCCGGAGGGTACCAGGTACTTATCGGGTCACTGGAAAGGAGTTTCGGGCACCCCTGGCAAAGATAAGTGCCTTATGGGCCAAGTGAGGGAACACACCAGCCCTGGTGCGCCCCTACAGAGGCTAGCCCTATGAGGAGGAGAAGGAAAGAGTGGAGGGCAAGGAAAGTGTGGATTAGGATTCCTACTTCCTTCCCTCTCCCCCTCCCTCTTTCCTTCCCCCTCGGTTATATACGGCAGGGGACGCGCGCGGCTTGGGAGGAACTCCAAGTAGGATTCCTCCTACTTGGGCACCTCCTATGGCTGCTCCTCCCTCCCTCCCACCTATATATATGATGAGTGGGGCACCTAGCACAGACCAGACAATTGTCTAGTCGTGTGCGGCGCCCCCCTTCACAGTTTACACCCCCGGTCATATTTTCAAGGTGCTTAGGCGATGCCCTGCGTGGATCACTTCACCATCATCGTCACCATGCCGTCGTGCTGACGAAACTCATCTACTACCTCGACGTCTTGCTGGATCAAGAAGGCGAGGGACGTTACCGAGTTGAACATGTGCAGAACTCGGAGGTGCCGTACGTTTGGTACTCGATCGGTGGAGCGCGAAGAAAGTTCGACTACATCAACCGCATTGTGAAACGCTTCCGCTCACGGTCTACGAGGGTACGTAGACACACTCTTCCTCTCGTTGCTATGCATCTCCATGGATAGATTTTGCGTGTGCGTAGAATTTTTTTTGTTTTTCATGCAACGTTTCCCAACATCTAGTACCCTACAAACTGATGGTCCTTAAGCATGTGACCCCATAGGTTTGGTAATATGTAGATATGACCCAGAAAAACTTTCGGTCAATAACCAATAGCGGGTTCTTGGCATCCATACTGATTCCTACACATACACGAGTATGTTGAGCTAACCTTTTGTTTGTGTAAACAATTCTCTTGGTTTCGCGATACTTAACAAAACCCGAGGCAAGACTTCTATAGGTATCCTTGTGAAGCAATAACTTGATCATAACACCAAGTTATCCTTGTTGCCGATTTTGTTCACTTTCTCGTTTCCATATTGTGATATCCCTTGATCATATCACGCGATGTCTGGCCAGAAGATAATGGATACCGCAATACCGAAAGGGCCTGAAGAATATATCTGCATCGTCCGAGGAGGAAATCTCAATACTGAGCTGTCAAGTCCCTAGGCATACTCTTCTGTTGTACCCGAAAGCTACCGTTATGATCACGCTATTACGGGAAACGTTTGACAAACCCCAAAGTATACCATCTGACATGAAGGTACTCAATACTCTCATGGTATAAGAAGTGAAGTATACGTTAACACTATTATGATTATACTTATAACATTGTGACAATGTGTTCTCGTAGTATATCATTTGGTTGGGTATGTTCAACATCATTATTCTGCTAACAATGTGCTCTCATTGTTGTCGCCATCCTTATTATCTAATAATGTCATATGATCATGAAAAAAGGATCATCATGCAATACATGAGCTAGTCTTAGAGGTAAGACTAGGAACCTACTTTGTGTTTATGTTCTCACATATGCATATGAGTTTTCCTCTGGATCTCACATTCAAGAACAATAGCAATTTACCTAGCTAGAATGAACAAGGTTAGGACCCGAATCCTACGCTCAATCAGCGGAAAAGAGTGCTCAATAGAACCCCGTGTGTTACCTAGTTGTCAACCTAACATAGCCGATCATACAAATAAGCATGGCACCAGTGACGGAGCTTGCAGCCCAAAGGTGGGCGGCCCAACAGGAAGAAAATAGCTTATGGGTAGTTGTTTTAAGGCCTAGGAGTAGATGCATACTATATAAAATTTCATTGGCAGGGTGACCCACGGCCACTCGGCCTTGTTGAAGCTCCGCTAGTGCATGCGCACACACTACCTGGTTGACACATAACCGTAATCTGCCCAGCACCACGATCGCTAACGCTCCCACCACTACTTAGACCATGCTATCTCTCCATAGAAACCACACACAAGAATCTCGAAGATTAAGCGGCACCGTTGGAAGGAGCAGTCTTTTTTTATTTTCAAAAAGCAAAGGACTATCTTATCGTTTTGTAGCATTGTGACTATTATTTTGGCCTGCCCAGTCTGCCTCCCTAGGCGATGGTCCCTCGTCCCGCCTCCTCTCCTAGGGCCAGGCCTGATCAATAAAGAGCCGGTGTGAAGCGTGATGCATAACTGATGGTGGGATGAACTTAGGAGAGAGAACGTGAACGGGAGTGATGTGGTGGGGATGGGGCCCATAGGCATGCGGTACACGCAGGTGATGCCGCTGCGAGCGCATTTTCGGTCCCACCGATTAGTATTATCTTTTTATAAAACAATATCACTTTCTTTAACATTATTTTAGAAAATGTGTAGATTTTTTTATAGAAAGCACGTGTGACAAGTTAAGCATAGCACTCGGAAACGTGTGACACCTGGGCCCTCCTTTCCCCATTCGGCCGTTCCCAGTCCAAAGCCCCGTCACCAAGTCCCCTCCGCCCCCAATGGAGAACCCGATGTTAGCGGCGGTGATCAATAACCTGCCCCACCTCCTGGACAACCCCGACCTCGTACAGCGCGTCCTCGACGGCGCCCGTGCAGACCTCCACCTGAACGGCCTCCACCTCGCCGAGGCGGCGGCCCAACTCAGAGACTGCTTGCGCGCCGAGGGCCGACTCCGGACCCTCCCCGAGCCCACGGAGGAGCAACGGATCGCGTGCGCGATGCTCGTCGATGCGGGCAGGGCCAGCTATCGTTTCTTCTTGAAGCAGCACTGGCTGCTCGGCCAGCTCGTCGGGTCGCTCCTCGTGATCCGGGCAGCCGCCGCCGCCAGGAGCCGCGCCCACCTCCTCCCCGGCGTGCTCCTCGCGGCGGTCTCGGCGGCTGTGGTCGTGTACGTCTCGACCCGTGGCGTCGTGGTGCCAGGTTTCAGGAGCCTCGTGAGATTCTCCCTCCTGACGCTGGACTTCCTCTTCGCCCCCGATCGGCCTCGTGCTCGTGGACGGGCTAGGTAAATTTCTCAGAAAGCGAGGCAGAGCCTTCAGAAACGTACTGTAGCTGACTTCGTCTAGTCTGCCGTTTCGTTAAATTTCATTCCGTTGTCTTTTACAGTAGACATCTGAGACATGTTAATTGCTGGCACTCTGTTCACAGAACTTAATGGTCATGCTCCTCTTGTCGTTTCCTGGTTCCTTTCTGTGTGATCTGTTCCTGGCATTGATGAGTCGTGATTCGTACATTTGCAGTCTGGCTGCACATTGTTTAATTGATGTTTGTCAAGTTCATTTTTATCGTCACGTTACTTGCTCTGCTGACATGGTGACACAGAGGTCTGATATCCTGAGACATGCTAACTCCTGAATGCTGAATTGCTGATACTACATATATTGCTCAGACTTCAGAGACGCTTAAGGTGAGCCTCCTATTCCTATGATCCTGCCCGTTCTGATGTATTGCGACATGTTCCTGAGCAGAGCACTCCAAATTCGTAAGTTTACATCAATTGTACTGCTATATAACATTGCTTGTGCTGCTATCCTCGGATATGTGACTAATGAAACTTGTCGGATACACATTTGCAGATATTCTACCTCCCCGCTCCAATCTGATGATATATGTCTGTCTTGTGCTATCTTTTGGATGGTTTAAGAGAATTTAAACTTCAGTTCTGCTTTGGAAGAGCCACAAGATCTGTCAATCTGGACATACGTGCAAGAACGCCCGTTAGGCCTTATACAATGCTAGGTGCTCAGGGAGGTGCTTAGAAAAACAGCCTGAGTTTTTCTGAAGCATCAGTGTCTATTTCTATAGAAAAAGAATCTTATTAAACGTCTACCTGTACAAATAAGCACCGATGCTTAAAATAAGTTTGTTTTATTTTTTTTAAGAACCTCCCATAAACACCTTGCATTGTACAAGGCCTTACAATTACACGGAGAGGTAGTAAGACACAGACGCCGAGCATTTGAAGCCATGAAACCGACTCTAACTGCCTATGCCTTTTCTTTTCAAAGAAAGGGGTTACCCCGCCCCATTTTATTGAAACAGGGCACAACAAGCCACGAATGTTTGCCAAGCCAGAAAATAAATCCATTAGGGCATCTCCAACGCTGGCTCCCAAATTTTCTCTTGCATCCGTCCTACACATAGGGGGTCAGTCCACGGACACGGATACGGGAACGGGGCATCCAGTGCTATTCGCTTATGTCCGATTACATTTTGGAAGAACTTTAACGAAAATGAATAAATTCGATGCATATTTGTACACACCAGGCAATATTCATTAATACTTGAATGATTTTTACATAAAACTGGGTGGTTTTCATCTAAAAATCGGACGAAATTCATTAAATTTACACACATTTCAACTAGATCGGACTCTAAACCTAGACTAAAATGACCGCCGTCGCCCATTCCCCATCTCTGGCCGGCCATGAGCCCTGAAAAATGAAGCCCCTCCTCCTCCGCAGCCATGAGCTCTGAAAAACGAAGCCCTGCCTCCTCCGCAGCCATGAGCCCCGGGAACTCCATTAGGACATCCGCAATGCCAACCTTCTTCTGTCTGTCGGTTGCAATGGCGTCGATCTCCTTGTTCTGCTCGGACGAGAGGCTATCCCAGATGGCTTTGGAGCTCGAGGGCGCCATGGCAGGCGTGGTGCAGAGAGGAGGAAGAGAGCGGAGGATGATGGATGCGGCCATGGCCGGGCATGCGATTGATATAGCGGGGGAGGGGGTAGGGTAACCGACGACGTGATTAATGGCGAGCGGCAGACGGACAGAAGGGTGGCATTGGCTCACCGTACCTCGGCAACCACATGCATGTTTAATGTACGCACGTAGGCGGATGGGCTGTCATTTGAATGCGGGGCATTCGCATGAAACCGGGAAGCGGTGAGGGCGCTGCTCTTCGCCGACGCGCCGTTTCAATGCCTGAGCATTGTGAGAGGTCGTGTTGCTCTAAGCCGGCATGAATGCGACACTAGTGCTCTAGAGGCGCTAACCTTTTCAGGCGGGAACGTGCGGGGGCGCGGGTATTTTTTTTATTGGTGGGCCAACTTAGTCAGACGCGAATGTTGTAGCGGTCCGGACGCCCGCAAAGCCCCCAACTTGTCTCCAGTTTGCGGGAAAAAGCGTGTCCAGACTGACCTGCGGACCAGTGCATGACTATGTTGGATGACAAAACACATATGCACCGCATGGTTCGGACACTCCGGGTGGTTTTAGGGTCAATGTTGGAGATGCCCTTACAGCTAACCACAAAGGTTGACGAACAATATGAAAGTTCTTCAAATGCAGCGAAGGAAGGATAAAACATAGCCAGCTAGCTATTACATGTCATCAACGTTCACCCGGAATGCGCTCTCAAAATAAAGCCTCACCGACCAGTCCTTTCTCCCACCTACCTCTTCATCTCCAGGCGATCTTTAGAAGCTCTCCTCTTCGCCAATCCAATAGTAGAAGGCATTTTCGCAGTATGGCCAATTGAGTGTCTGCTCATAAGAGCTTCCATTGATGAATCATTGTACTTACTCTCCCAAGAAGAATACATGTACTTGTCCAACACACGTCCTGAAAATACAAGTCATTACACATTGTCCATAAGCTTTAGACAACAACAACAGAAGATATACCAACCATATTTTGTTTATTATCAGCACAACACAAAGCAGATAATTCAGACATATTACAAGGAATTCTGAAATTAAAGATTTCAACTACATCTCTCCAAATCTATTTTGCCACAAAACGGACAAAGAAAAGGTGGTGGACAGTTCCGGCCTAGCCACAAAAGAGGCAAGTCCAATGGTCAAACTTGTTGCCTTTTGCTTAATTTTTTTAACCGAAACCCGTAGAACAATCGTTCTACTGTATATATATTAAAAACGTTTATGTACGTACATAAGGGAAACAAGGAAAACAAACGTCTATCCAATTCCTGCTCTAGCAAAACCCAACATGATAAATCAGTTGCAATCTAAGACTTGATCAATCCAACTTGAGAGAAGAGCTTCATATTTGTCCTTGATTTTGTGCTTGATTAGCAAGAGGTCTTTTCTCAACATGTATTTCCATGAATGTAGTGAGAATAGCTTGGAGTTGAAGATCTTCCCATTTCTCCGAATCCAAATATTCCAGCATCCCATAATTATGATTTCCATGGCAATTGGTTGGCAAAGCTTGTAATAAGAGCAAAACCTCATCATATACAAAAATATTTTCTGTGTCTATTACCCAGAATGGAGTCCCAGCAGGTGAGGGCAAAGTTATAGTCCCATAACAGATGCATGGCAGTTTCTTCAGTGTTGGAGGTACAAAGAGCACAATTGTATGAAGGTAGATGGAATGACTTTCTGTGAAGAAGATTCCTTGTATTTCCTCTGTCATGCATGAGTAGCCAGAAGAAAATCTTATATCTGAGCATTGTGGCATTTTTCCAGATTTTGGGAAAGAGAGGTGGAGCCGGTTTTCCTTGTATCGGAATTTTTGCTTAAGTTATCCCTGGTTAAAATCTTATTATTAAAAGACAGCCAAACAAAAACTAGATATCAGTGGGGCACCACAATTTTCCAGAAGTTTTTCCAAACAACGGTAGAAACCCCTCTCAAGTTAATCATATTATAAAAGGAATGAACAAAATATATGCCAGAAGGTTCTAGAGACCACAAATGTCGATCAACATTATCATTGGGAATATAGGCCGAAAGAACAATAGGCAATTCCTACCATTTAACTAGGAAATCATCATCCACACATCTCCTAAATGTCTGTTTTAGGGTACGCCCATCCCAGACTTGGGAAACACAACAACTTTATTGTTGGCAGATATGAAGGATATCTCACAATTGGGTTTTAAAGTTATATCACCAGCCCAGATATCATGCCAAAAGCTAATGCAACTACCATTCCCAAGAGGCCATTTATAAAAAGGCCAGACTCAACAAAGACCCAAGTAACACCCTTCTAAAAGTAGGAACCAATATTTGTTTTGGACCAAAAAACGTTAGGCTTACAAGTGTTATACTTGTAGTTCACCAATGTAATCCAGTTTTTGTCTCCACCCATAAAAAATCTTTTAGCCCAAAAGGCTAACAGGGTCATGTTAAAATCTCTGAGATTAAGGACCCTAGATCTCCGAAGGCCTTCTTTTGGGAAACAAATTCCTAGTTAGGTAGATGATATTTATGGGTATCTTCGAGGTTACCCCAATAAAAATGAGTCATTTGTGAACTAATTGCATCAATTATGCATTTAGGAAATTTAATAATTGACATCAAATACATGGGAATGCTCGCGATACAAGTTTGTAGCAAAATCAACTTTGCTTCATAGCTAAGAAGTTTGCCCCTCCATCCACAAATTCTTTTAATAATCTTATCGGTAATAGGCAGAATGTTCTTGTAGGATCGAGTATATCGATCAGAAGGGGGTGAACTGGAGATCTAAAATTTCTTCCGAAAGTTGAAACCTCTTGGCACAACACAACGGAAAATAAAACTTGACAGGTGCGGATCTAGGATAAAAAACAACTATAGGAAAGAAATCACTACAAAACTGATAGACTAGATGAACGATTCTAACCAAGAGATGATAATCATGCGGGTATAGAAACACAGTGCTATGAGAATAATGACGGCCACAAGGAATGAAAACAAAACTAATAACGTTAGAATGGGGATTCGCTCTATAAAAATTAACTGCAACAATCCATACGATCAGATACACACTCCTGGGACATGTTCATTAGAGCAAGGTTGAGGCAAATAACTAAGTAGCACCGGATATAAATCAACCCAACACACAGACACACTACCATAAGTACAGTGAATGCAAACACGCGGGACAACGTGTTTTCGGAACAAAATGATTTGCAGGTGTTGGAAATATTAGCACTTTTCCGATTAGACTTATCCACGAGTAAACAGTAAGCATGGTATGCATCTCATAGCAATACCTAAGCATACTAGCACGTACAGAACATAGAATCGAACCTTCTATGAGCAGCACATATACGGCTAGCATAAATACGAGTAAACGAGGGATGAACAGATCATACCCTCCGGTTGGCCAGGCCAACGCGGCGGCTACAACAGCAGCCTCGGCGTCGTCCGTGGCCTTCTTCTTAGAGGCGGCGTCGTCGGCCATGGTGTCGATGCAGAGGAAGTAGTGGAAGCAGAGGCAAATAGAGTTGGGGACGGATCGGGAGCAGTCGCATCGAGACGCTCCCCAAAAACCTTATTGCCGTTCTCCCGGGCAGGATCTCGAACGACAGGGTTCCGGAGGCACCTGCTCTCCCGACCAGCCGTGCACGCGGTCGTCGGGATGGGATCGCCGGAGGCAGCACATAGTGAGGAACAGTAGAT